TATATTATCTGTGAGTTTCTATCTATATAGTTTAGAGATTCATAAGTGGATAATAAGAATGTGAAGAAATTCATCAGTATGATGACAAATTCAGGATACAGATAACTTCTCATAGGGAGAGGAGATTTGATGCTGGGAGGGCACACAAGGATAGTGGGAAGATGGTTGACATTTTCTGAATATTTGAAATTCTTTATAATTTATGAAGTTATGTGTATGTCTATGACATACATTTTTTTTTAAAGATTTTATTTTATTTATTTGACAGAGAGACAGCGAGAGAGGGAATACAAGCAGGGGGAATGGTTGAGGGAGAAGCAGGCTTCCGCAGAGCAGGGAGCACGATGCGGGGCTCCATCCCAGGACCCTGGGATCATGACCTGAGCCGAAGGCAGACGCTTAATGACTGAGCCACCCAGGCGCCCCAACATATACATTTGAGCACTAATTTGGCACTCAAACATTTTGTTAAAGTAGAAAATTAAATGCTTATTTCAATAACAAGAGTCTTGTTTTCCTTTAATAAGTAAAACTAGGAAACACTACTTAAAATTTTTAAAAGCATATGTAGAATATGGAAGAAACCTTTACTTATTTCTTAATATGTGCTGATTGATTATCTTGTATTATTCTCTAGGTCTTATTTTAGTTTTGCTCTCTCTTTCTGCAAGCTTTTCTGTAAGAACAAGATTAGGAAGTCCTGAATGTCCTGGATGTAGTTGATAGTCTGCTGTTCTTTTTTTTTTTTTGAAGAGAGAGAGAAAAAAAAAAGAATACTGGAAACAGCATTGAAATGGAACTTGGGAGTTCTTTTTCTTCTAATATTTATCTAACAGTATAAACTTGGGCAGTTTATTTCTCTAGCCATCTCTCTCTTCTTGGTCCTCATCTATAAAATGAGAGTTGGACCAGTTAGGTATGGGCTGTTTCAGCTCTGTAATATCAGAAAGAGCAGCTGATTCCATGGAAAGAGTATATATAGACTTCAGAGCCTGTTAAATTTGTCATCTCTTTTTTTTAATTTTTTTTATAATTTTTTATTGTTATGTTAATCACCATACATTACATCATTAGTTTTTGATGTAGTGTTCCATG